GTGTGTACCTATGCAACAATTTTGCATGTTCTTCAAATGTACCCCAAAACCTAAAATGCAATAAAATAAATAAATGGGAAGAAAAGAAAAAAAAAAGATGTAATGAAGCTGGGATTCAAAACAAGATCTACAAAAGGTCTGTGTATACATAGATACAGCTATTTCCCTTTGTCAACAAAAAGAGTCAAACTCTGTAAAATATTTGAAGAGATTCTGAGCCATATATGTGTGGCCATAACCTGTGATACAGCCCTCATGAGGTCCAGAGAACATGTGCCCAAGGTAGTCAGGGTGCAGCTTGGTTTCATACATTTTAGAGAGGCACCAGACATCAATCAAATACATTTAAGAAATACATATTGGTTTGGTCCTGAAAGACAGGACAACTAAAAGGTGGGGGCTGGGGGGGGTGGGCTTCCAGGCTATAGATGAATTTAAACAATTTAAACATTTTCTGGTTGACAATTGTTGAGTTTTCTAAAGACCTGGGTTGATAGAAAGGGGATGTTCAGATAAAACATTAAGATAAAAGATGGTAGAGGCCAAAACTCTTTCAAAGTCTCAAAGTGGCTGCCCTTAAACACAATAGATGACAAATGTTTTCTATTCAGATCTTAAGTCATCTTTTTAGGATTGGGAGGGTCTGGAAGAAAAAGATCTAGCTATGTTAACAGAGATTCTTGGCTTTGTATGACCATTTCAAAATATGGAACAGAAACATGTTTTGGGGTAAAATATTTTGATTTTCTTTCTTATAATATTATGCCAGAGTCAAGTCGGAAAGTAAGTCACAATTACGGTTAAATAAAACCCATCTGATGAGAATTTATGATTTGTAGGGCATGACTCCCCAGACCCCTTAGATAGGAATTTGGACAAGATAAAAATCAGAGTTTAGTCCTCACCTTCATATAATGGCATGAAGGTAAGCCCTGTCCTCCTGTATTAGTTGGGGTTCTGTAGAGGAACAGCACTAATAAGATATATATATTCTATTAGGAGAGATAGTTGTAGGCTGGGAGACTAGCCAGTCTCACAGTTTCACATTTTTCTGCCTGCTTTATATGCTTGCCGGCAGCTGCTTAGGCTGTGCCCACCCAGATTAAGGTTGGATCTGCCTTTCCCAGCGCACTGACTCAAATGTTAATCTCCTTTGGCAACACCCTCACAGACATACCCAGGATCAATGTTTTGTACCCTTCAATCCAATTAAGCTGACACTCAGTATTAACCATCACGTTACAGGAAATTATATACTTTTTGAAAGCAGGGGCTGGGCGCAGTGGCTCACACCTGTAATATAATTGGGCTTGGGAGGTGTGATTGTCACAGGCGTGTGAACCAGAGCAACTCCATCTTAAATAGGAGCTGGGGAAAATGAGGCTGAAACCTACTGGACTGCATTTCCAGGCTGAAATCTACTCTGTCACCCAGGCTGGACTGCAATGGCATGATCTCAGCTCACTGCAAACTCCACCTCCCCGGTTCAAGTGATTCTCCTGCCCAGCCTCCTGAGTAGCTGAGATTACAAGCGTGTGCCACCATGCCTGGCTATTTTATTTTTAGTTGAGATGGAGTTTCACCATGTTAGCTAGGCTGGTCTTGAACTCCTGACCTCAAGATCCACCGGCCTCGGCCTCTCACAGTGCTGAGATTATAAGTGTGAGCCACCATGCCCAGCCCAAATTAGCTGTTACAGAACAAAGTCTGAGCATTAACTAGGAACGCTCAGGGAGTCTGTGATAGTTCAGATACATCTAAAGTGGTTGACAAGAGTATAATACAGGAAAAATCACTTTCCTACACTAGCCATCCTTTAGGATGTGTCATACTTAGCTAAAACATGTTCCTGAATTCTGACGTCTAAACAAGAAGTTTACATTTCATACAAGGAGAGGTCCTTGTAATAAAGCAGCTGAACAATAAGAGAGTCTATTTCTTTACATTGATGATAATGAAATCACAATAGAAGAAATTTGCTATTTGGCAGGATAAGATGTAATGAAGCTAGTAGTCAAAACAAGATCTGCTTGATGCCAAAGTCCACATAATTAACCACATTTTCCACTCAGCAAATACATATATAGGTAAAATAAAGCAAGAGAATGCATACTTTAGAAGAAATAGAGAAGTATACAACTACAAGATATTGTTACTAATTTTAAAGCAAAAGCTCTCTTAGATTCTTAGTTGCTTGAAAAATAGATTGAAATTACCTCAAATGATAGGGGCTGGTTGTGAGGATACTCATGTCAAAAAAGGAGACAGTGCAGCCGGGTGTGGTGGCTCACGCCTGTAATCCCAGCACTTTGGGAAGCTGAGGCGGGCGGATCGCCTGAGGTCAGGGGTTTAAGACCAACCTAGCCAATATG